ATACATTGTTAGTTGTAGGGCAATACCAGACTAATAAAATGACTTTTACCAAAGCGTTTTACGTAAAAAGCTCTTCGAGCATATTATAATGCATAGGACTATCAAATAAAATTATTTATAAGCTATGTAGAATCTGAGATTTATGTTTACAATTAATTTGACTAGAAAAAAGTGCAGCATGTTAAAGATATTAGAATGTGGTAATAAATATACTCGTACTCTATTGTTGAGTTTTGGGACGTAAATAATGCGTATTAAATTATAAATATTATGTATCAAAGTAAAAAGGCTTTTTATTAGGCGGAAATTGCGGAGCATGTGCTTCACAACAGTTATTTAGAAGAAAGACCAAAATTTTTATTTTAACAAATAAATAAATCGATAAATACAAGTTTTGTGTAGTTTTAATCAACCGCCCCATTCATGAGTATTTTACCGATTAAGAAAGATAATAATAAAAGAACCAGTTGGTCGATTTTATCAATTAGTCGCAATTTTTCTAGTTTCTGCGTAGGAATAACAGAGAATATTGCGATTTAGTTTTTCTATCTTAGATTGTTTACCGTCAAATTATTGTTATGATTATTATTATTACTGTTGTTATTTTTTTAGTATTGTTTTCATTGTTAGTGTTATTGTTTTATTTGAAAATTTTATATTATATACACGCTAGAAAAATATTATTAAAAGATGGCATTTGTCTTAATATAGACGCTTGAGAGAAATAATGAAATTTTACAATAATAACTCCTTAGGGCACGAATAATATTTATAATAATTTTAATGAACCATTCATATGAATCATTTACTATTAAATGAACTCGCGTAAAGACACAACAGTCATCGGAGATTATCATGATCTCCCGTCCCATCAGGATTCATTAGCGATTGAACGCGATCGTGAACGATAAGCACGCGTACGTGTTTGACTCGCGAATACTATTCCACCCAACGTTGATAACATTTTCCGTGCGAGAGGGATCGATTCACTTCCGGTATACGTGACAACCAATGTGGGTGTCAAGGTGAAGGGCAGAGGTGCTATCGACGCGCGTGGTAACTGGACTCTCAAAATAGCAAGAGTCGTTGGTAACGATGAACTCCTGAGGCCGGAAGTCACGCTGGAGGATAGGCTTGTATCGCGCTTTATCATCTCTATGCTTCTATATGGATTTTGAATAGAATACATTTGGTTTGAATTTTTTATATAGTTAAAGGTTTACTTTTGAATAAAGTATGGCTCAGTTTCGGACTGAGTATGTAACTATGAAGTTGGAATTACTTCAATGGTCTGAACGTGAGTCGTAAGTAGATGTGTATTATTATGCTAATACAATTAGAAAAAGTAAATCGTATGTACCTTACGGTAGTCAATAAATGTCAGATAGAGATATTCGGCACTAACATCATTTTACTTCACACTCATCTTTTATTTTTTTAACACGATAAACACGTTGATTTAGTCTACCTTTACACGAAGTACTCATACATTAGTAATATCGATATGATAAGAAATGAAAGGTGGCCAGGGTGAAAGTTTGAATTTTTATACACCGAGTGTCTATTTAAAGCACGCATTTGTCTTTAAGATCCATAACATATTTATAATTTATATAATTTTTGCAGGAGATACTATAAAAATATTGATATCTACTAATCATTGAATAAGAACAAGGTTAACGACTGAATATATTAGAATATATAATAGAGAGGACGATCGCCTATGTTTAAAGGTCATTATTGTATTTTATCAATTATATATTTGACAATAAGACACAAGACAACTGAAGGACGTACCATCGCATCAAATCAACATCTTACAAATCTTCTCCAGAACTAGTATACTAGAATACTAGAACTAAGATCGACGCCTTCGATACATTAATTCTCTCCTTCCGCTTACTTGTCACTATTTATAATGATAATTAAATCATAACATATGTAAATTATCAGGCGATGGCTATGTACTAAATATATTTTTATTTATTCTTACTATTATTCCGCATTATTTTACCACATAACGAAATATAAGATCGGTGTACTGGAGAATACAAGAAAATTCGACAACAATGATATAAATATATATATGCATGTATGTATTCGAGGGGTTTTGATCGCACCAACGAGGAGGTTGCAGAAAATCAAACGTATCACCGTGTTCCCGACATTGAGATCTGTCATATCTTTTTCTATCCCTCGGTGTTCGAGTATATAAAAACGTGCAGATTTTGAACGTGTCGGGATCGCGATAGTTGCGGACGCGCTCTCATAAAAAAAATATAAAAAGGCTACGCAGTCGGATTCTCGCTTTTCATCGTTCTATTTTCGGCGGGAGGATGTTAAAGGGAAAAACTTCGAGATGGGTGGTAATCTCGGGAATCTCGGACACCGGAAGACAATTTTGTCGGTACGAGGGTCGACGAGGGTACTGAATGTGATCGGTGTTGAAAATCGCGAGCTGAAATAGCGCCTTATTAATGAACTGAATTCGAGGGTGAAAATATAAGATCGTTGCTGAATATCAGACTGTCAAAAGTTATTAAATATCATCTTCTCAGATCTTTATTGAATTAAAATGTCAGTGTATAAGCTACAAATGCATTTATTAGCTGATTTTTCTGATCATATGTGCATACGTCCGTGCATACGCGTAAGACAAAGAAAGAGATAGTGTGTAATATAAAAAATATATGACAATTAATGGTGAATATAATTTAGAAATTGAATATTTAAAAGATGCAAACAATTTTATTCTGATACATATAATTATAATCATGATAAAATTAAGACACAATTAAGTGAGCCTAATTTAAAAAATTCTCGTAAAAATTTATTTGGTTATCTTGAGCCGTTGTGCTCAGTCTATTAGTTTAGGCTCTATAGGAACGGATGTGAATGAGTGCCTGTAAGAAGACCCTGCGGGATTGAAGAGAGGAACGAAGGATCTCTTTCTTTCTCTTTCTCTTTCTCTTTCTCTTTCTCTCTCTCTCTTTCTCTCTCCTTTTTCCTTCTCTATTTCTTTCATTGTGTGCCATCTCAAGGAGACCACTTCCGCGAATCGAACGAGTTATTTCCACAGAGCAGCAGATCTCCCTCTCTCTTTCTCTCTGTCTATCTCTCTTGCTCTCTCCCGTCTCGACTCCTTACACGGGCATTATTATTGTACTTGGTCGACAGATAATAATTTTCGTGCAGGGCCCCGTCGACGACATGGATCTCTCGTACTAGACAAATCGTGAAGAGAGGGGAGGCGCAACTGACTTCAAAGGCGTTTAACGGCGGCCGTTATCGCATGTCCGGCAGCGGCCGCTGACTTATGCGCTTACATGCATATGTGCACACATGCGCATACAGTACCTCTCGCCGGGAGAGCGAATCTTTCAAAGAAAACTTCTAAGGGAGCCGCGTGTTCCCTTCTTTCCCTCATCTCCTTCTCTACCTCATCAGCCCCCTCCCCATACACTTTCCCGCACCTCGTCGTCATTCTTATAGAGTGAGTGGGAGTGAAGCCCCAGGATCGGAGCCTAGTTCCGTAGGGCCCATGCCGTTCTTTCGCTCGCGCTTTTAAATATTGTACTCGTATGCGTCCTTTTACAGCGTGCTCGTTCCTTTCCCGGATCTTTTTCTTCTTCTCGTTGTTTATTCGATTACGTAAAGAGTTACACCGGCAACGAATCACGAGTTTGCGATTGCTATCTCTATAACGGTAAAAAGTAGCCTGGACACTAGTTGGTATCGAACACCGTATACCTATATATTGTCAACTATTATTTTATAAGGTTTTAGATAGTTCGGTCTTTCTCTTTGGAAATAATGCCGCGAGCCAGTAATACCAGCATCGATATGCCAAGCGACCGCGATATCCATGGAGCGGAAATGTAATGTAACGTACGTGTGCGCATACTTCTCAAATATGCGATTTACCTTAATTACTCGAACGCGAATACTTGATCTAGTATGATATACTTTGACAAGGATTGATATTGAATCGTGACAAAAATTTATGAGTACAGTGTACCAACTACAAAAATGCTTTATAATCCTGCGGCGATTTGTAATCATCTGTTATTAAATTTTCGTAGCGGATTGACACTGTACGCGCAATTTTGGCAAACAACGACACAACCTAACCTCAAAGCGAAGAACACGATTGCACTTGATAAACGTATCGAATAATAGATAATAGCGCCGACAAGCGAATTATAATGAAAGAGAGGGTGAGAAAAAGAAAGCGCGAATAAGCGAGTAAAAGGAAGATGATCGGTCAAGAGATACAGAAGGCACGAATAAAGCGCGAGAGACGCAAAATGAATAGAAAGAAGGCAGCGCAAACCTGTCACAATTATTAATTTGGTCTCCTAATGAATTCCTCGGACCAATGACTCACCGATAGACAAATAATTAACAACCGCGCGAATCTTAGATTACGCGATATTTCATGCATGTGCTCAAGATGCATCAACGATGACGTGGAACAATTTAAAATTCACGGCTCGACTAGCTTATGTTGACGGGCCGGGCTGGTCTTCAGTGTTTTTAAAATGCAAGAATCACAAACTTCGAGTATTAATAATTGATGCTTGAAGTTTGTTGTTTATACAATCTTCCGCACTTATCATTTTTGTAATAAGCGGATTGAGTAAGAAAGCGTCGTG